GAGTATCTAATACTTAGGCAGACCTGAGGAAATCCCAGGGCCTCCTCAGGATAAGATGTTTATTTTTGGGTTAACCTGCTACCAAATTTCAAGGGATTCAGGCCCCGCCCTGTGGCCATAGGCCGAATACCTAGTGAGGCTTTCCAAGGCAAGAATCCTCTTGGGTCTGGGCCCTCTGTAGAAATAGTTTTCATAAGGATGCAAATTAAAATATTTGATTAAGATACACTATGCCTTGTCCTCACTACTTAATTTGAATTTTATCTTAATTTTTACAAAGCCTATAAGGACAATACTATTATCTTCACTTTACTCAAAAGCCAGTGCTCTTAACCATTAAGCTGTAGCCACCTCTGTAATTATACACTACTAAGACATATGTTTATTATAAAGGAGAAATTCTGAACTGATAATAGCAACATGGTTAAAGCATAATATTTTTATAGCATATACCCTTTTAGAGCCCCTTTAACTGTCATTTATGTTTATTGCAGCCACATCCTGACTTCTTTTTACCTCTCTTTCTGCTTATATGAAGGTGCTTTCATACATTGTCCTCAGACACACCTCCTGGCATTTGCAGCGTCACACACAGAATCAGCAATGTCCATCATCAAGGCAAATTGCTTGAAAACAGCCTGTTTCACAATAAATGCATACAAAATTCTCATCCACTAATATTGTCTGTTCTTTGTGCTTCTGTTCATATAGTCATCTTTTTTGGATGGCTCACATTTTTATATACACACAGATTTTCTCATGCCATATGCCACATTCTTGTCCTTTTAGGACCATTACAGACACCCTTACTGAGCCAGAGACATTTCTTTTTTTAGCAGGAGCAGTGGTGAGCTGCAGCTATCATGGTGATGGTGATGACTCTTTTTAAAGACCAGAATGATCTGAGATGTCAAGGCCTAGGGAGAATTCTTGGTTCAGGACAGAACTTCACATAAGGAACTAATTCATTGATAAATAACATTTTCATTGCAGTTATTGGGCAGCCCTTCTCACTGTCTTTACTGAAAAAGTGAGGAAAGGGGAGACTGTCACCTGGAGTATGTCTATTTGTATGGAATTTGAGCCCAGATGTTGGTGGGGGTGGGGAGCAACAAGCTGTCATGTGGTGACATGGGTCATAAGCTCATGTGAATGCATGAGGTGCAGGAAAGAGAGCACATTGAAGGCCATATAGGAAAGGGACAGGAGATTGTATATGTGTGTGCATGTGTAAGAAACTGAGGAGCCCGTTGTGTCAGATGGTGCTGAGCTATAAAAGTTCTTGCCAACCTGCTGCACTTGTTGAACCTGGGAATAAAACCTATCTAGGCAATTCTCTATCTTGTTCCTGGGAATAAAACCTATCTAGGCAATTCTCTATCTTGTTAGGCCATGATGGGTAAATTTCCAGCCCCATGACACCATAAAAGGCTCCATACCCATCTTTTCACAAGACATCTAATGAGTCAGGCCCCAGTTGTCTGCAGTAGTCCAGGTGAGAGGTAAGGGGAGGCTGTTTTGCATATGGTTAAACCTGAAGCCTCTGAGTCAAACTCTTTTCTCATCTGTAAAATGGAAATGATAAATAGTATTCACTTCAAAGATTTGCAGGATTTAAACAATGTATGTAAAAATTGCTCTGCATGGTCTCTAACACAGTTAGCTATGTTAATAACTGAATAAACAAGTTTGTGTGAGCCTCATAGCCCTTATAGCTTAGTCTTAACTAAGGCTGAGATCTGTTTTTTACAGTGTTTTCTCCCCACCTCCATTCTTCATGGGAGAGAAGTTAGCCCTGCATCAGCCGCTTCCCCCACAAGGCTCCATAATACCTCTGAGAGGATGAATAGGACATTCCTTCATCGTTATCTTTCATTGGTGTAATTGTTTTATTTAAGGAGATGAATTGGTAGCATATAAAAGCATTTCTCTTGCCAGAGCAGGCTGACTAAAATAAAATGATATTTATTCCAATGTAAATTTTAAAACAATTTTATTTATTAGTGTTTCTTTGGCCTGTCAAGTTGGGAAAAAGGGAAAAAATAACAAACAGGATACTGTTTAAAAACAGTATTCTGGGCCAGGGTCAGTGGCTCATTCATATAATCCTAGCACTCTGGGAGGCCAAGGTGGGAGGATTGCTTGAGGCCGGAAGTTCGAGACCAGCCTCAGCAAGAGTAAGATTTCCCCATCTTCACAAAAATTGGAAAAATTAGCCGGGCATAGTGGCGCTTGCCTCGTAGTCCCAGCTACTCAGGAGGCTGAGGCAGGAGGATCACTTGAGCCCAAGAGTTTGAAGTTGCTGTAAGTTATGAAGACACCACTGCACTCTGGGCAACAGCAAGACTACAAGAATGTCTAATAGATAAATACAAATAACAGTATAATGTGCTAGAAAATCTAACACTGACATTTGTCTTACCTTTCATCAGCACAGCCAAAGCTAGACAATTCAAATGGAACTTTATAAGAACTAAGCTCTACTAAACACACAGTGCCTTAAAACACACTGAACTACCTGTGGTTTCTATGAGGCTGTCATATTTGATTCTATTTCTTGAACTGCACCATTTTCACCTGGCCAACTCCCGCCTGTTCTTTAAGACTCAGATGTCATTCCCCAGGAAGCCTTTCCTAAAGCCTCTTCTGAAAACATAACACTTAAAAATGAGATATCTTTACTTCAAGAAACCTATCTTTATTCTTTCTGCAATAATTTCTTCCAGTGTAGTTTATGTACTTGGCTCTTCCTTTAGATTGACCCCTCTAAGAGCAGAGATTAAATCTCATTCATTTTTACATTGCCAATGCCTGATACAAAAACCAGTAAATGTAGTGAGTTTACACCTTGTTTCTGTTTAGTGTGGTATTATTATTATAATAGTTTATGAGGACATCTTTTTTTTTTTTTTAAATATTCCGGAGGTCCTCTGTGTATATGAGGACATCTTGTGGCTAGATCATTTATTGCGACAAAGGAAGATACTATTCTAACATTTATTTTTTGCATTGATTTACCTGTTGTGCAAAACATGACATAATATTGCTTGGAATGGTTTATATTGTGTGATTCTGTTTGTTTTCCTTTAGGGCCTTTTATGGATAAACAACAACAAAACCACTAAAGTGATGGTTTGTGAAACTCTGAAACGTCTTCCTGGTGGGAGTCATAAAGGCCATTATATATCTAGATTTTATAGTTAGTTATTAGGGAAACATGAAGGCAGACCTAGATCTAAATTTCACTTCTATCAAATCTTGGGTGACCTTGAAAATAAGGCACTCTGAAGTAAAGTTCTCTGCAAAACGGAAATTATCCCTTCCTTAATGTACAGTATATATAAAGTGCATGGCACACAGTGCCTGGCATATTAAAGTACTCTAGGTGGTTACTGATAGTTATCTAGAATCTAACTAACCATCTAATGCCTGAGACATTCCCCCACCCCAAAATACAAGACACACCAAATATTCATCCATATTCTACCTGAATACCTCTAAAGATAGTGAACTTGCTAATTAACTTGCTAGTTATGGCACATTCCATTCGCTCTAACTTCTAAATATTCTATGATGATTTTTCCTAATACCTGAAAGTATAAGAAACTTACATCTCTATTATTTTTCTATAGGTTTCCTTTTTAAAAATGTTTAATATAAGCCGGTCGCGGTGGCTCACGCCTGTAATCCTAGCACTCTGGGAGGCTGAGGCGGGCGGATTGCTGGAGGTCAGGAGTTTGAAACCAGCCTGAGCAAGAGTGAGACCCCATCTCTACTATAAACAGAAAGAAATTAATTGGCCAACTAATATATATAGAAAAACTTAGCCAGGCATGGTGGCGCATGCCTGTAGTCCCAGCTACTCAGGAGCCTGAGGCAGGAGGATTGCTTGAGCCCAGGAGTTTGAGGTTGCTGTGAGCTAGGCTGACGCCACGGCACTCACTCTAGCCTGGGAAACAAAGCGAGACTCTGTCTCAAAAAAAAAAAAAAAATGTTTAATATAAAATCATCAAATTGTAAATTCATTGTTCTACATATTTATCTTTCATGTAATAGTTTTTCATTATGATCCTTAACTATAAATGGGGTAAGACCTTAAAAGCAATTTAACTTTACTGGATTTTATTGTCAAGCTTATATTTTATATTAAAATGGCTTTATGGTATAAGTTCATTAATTCTAGTAACTCATTAATTACTGTATTTCTTCTTGTCTCTTGTTTAAGTTGTTTTGAACTGTTCACTACTAAGTAATTTAAAAAATTAATCTGCTTGTGTGAAAACTAAGGAACATACAAATTAAAACCTTTAATGAGTCAGCAGATCATAGGAACCAGGTGCTCTGTTGGTGCAAAATGTCCAAGGAGACTTTTTTTTTTTTTTGAGACAGAGTCTGGCTTTGTTGCCCAGGCTAGAGTGAGTGCCGTGGCGTCAGCCTAGCTCACAGCAACCTCAAACTCCTGGGCTCAAGCAATCCTGCTGCCTCAGCCTCCTGAGTAGCTGGGACTACAGGCATGCGCCACCATGCCCGGCTAATTTTTTCTATATATATTAGTTGGCCAATTAATTTCTTTCTATTTATAGTAGAGATGGGGTCTTGCTCTTGCTCAGGCTAGTCTCGAACTCCTGACCTCGAGCAATCTGCCAGCCTCAGCCTCCCAGAGTGCTAGGATTACAGGCATGAGCCACTGTGCCTGGCCTCTAAGGAAACATTGAGAGGTGTTGTGTACACATGGCTGAAAGGCTCAGACCGAACGTTTGATTGCTGTGGAAGACTGGAGATCACCAAAAACTGTTACTTTTTTCCCTAAACACTCCTTTTCCTTTCAAAATAATTTTCATAAGAAATTTTTAATTTCTATCATAGAGATATTGGCAACTTACTTGAATTTCTGAATCAATTTTTGGGGGGAAGATTCAGTTTTTAATCCAGTGATTATTTTTCATTGGCTTTTCTGTTACTACAGAATTAAATTACAAAAATCTTTGTTTTATGTTTAGGTGACTGTTGTCTCTGCTGTCCCTGGGAAAGTGGTTTGTGAAATGAAAGTAGAAGAAGAGCATACTAATAGAATGGGCACTCTCCATGGCGGTTTGACAGCCACGTTAGTAGACGACATATCAACGGTGGCTCTCCTATGCACGGAAAGGGGCTTACCTGGAGTCAGTGTCGATATGAACATAACGTATGTATCCAGACTATACCCCAAATAACTTTTTTTAATGTAATAATTTATCAAACAACTGAGACTAAAAACATTTGTGATATTAATGAAGCATGGATTTTGATTAGCTGCATATCTCCTTAGGTGCAGCTATAGATTTCTAGAACTAAAGTGTTAATTTCTAAGAATTGTATGTATAAATAGTAAAGGGGGAATATTCTCAAACATTCAAAAAAGTAGGCATTCAGCTGCTTTTTTATATACACACACATGCACATACACACACACACACACACTTGTGGGGAGGGGAAAATCACAAACTGTTGCTCATAATTGTTTCATATAGTCCTTAAAAGTACCAGTTACGGCCCAGGCAGGCGGATTGTTTGAGTTCAGGAGTTCGAAACCAACCTGAGCAAGAGCGAGACCCCCATCTACTAAAAATAGAAACAAATTAATTGGCCAACTAATATATATATAGAAAAACTTAGCTGGGCATGGTGGCGCACGCCTATAGTCCCAGCTACTCAGGAGGCTGAGGCAGAAGGATCGCTTGCGCCCAAGAGTTTGAGGTTGCTGTGAGCTGGGCTGACACCACGGCACTCACTCTAGCCTGGGCAACAAAGTGAGACTCTGTCTCAAAAAAAAGTATCAGTTGCACAAATGTTTTATGAGTGTCATATAGAGCACATATAAAGAAAAGTGTGAATAAAATTCAAAACACAGTTGGAGTTCATATATACATTGTAATTTTATTCTGACTGAAAGCTGAACACAAGTGTCAGGTTTGTTTTGTTTTGTTTTGTTTTGTTTTGTTTTGTTTTGTTTTGTTTTGTTTGAGACAGAGTCTGGCTTTGTTGCCCAGGCTAGAGTGAGTGCCGTGGCGTCAGCCTAGCTCACAGCAACCTCAAACTCCTGGGCTCAAGCAATCCTTCTGCCTCAGCCTCCTGAGTAGCTGGGACTACAGGCATGTAGGCAGCTAAGTTTTTCTCTATATATTAGTTGTCCAATTAATTTGTTTCTATTTACAGTAGAGACGGGGTCTCGCTCTTGCTCAGGCTGGTTCAAACTCCTGACCTTGAGCAATCCTCCCACCTCAGCCTCCCAGAGTGCTAGGATTACAGGCGTGAGCCAAGTGTCAGGTTTTAAGAACAGGAAGCAGTCCTGGATCTCTCCCTTCAACTACACAGACATGCTCTATGAGTTTAAAACACATGATCAGGAAGAAGTGCCACAGATGTCAGGTGTCACTCACTGCTGTGAAAATGCCTACAGGGGCCAAACTTTTCCAAAATGTAAAAAAATCAATTGCGACATAAACTAGTATTGTTGTCAGTCCCATTCAATAAAGAGCAGGGCCCAGGAATTTAGTTTCAAGGCAATTGCTTTTTCTACCTAAGAAACAGAAAAAAATGAATTTGTTGAGAGGATGGGCAGGGGTTAGAGAAGGCGATCCATAGTTTCCAGGCATGAGGGTAGTGGAACATAGGTAATTGGGTTTTTAAGCAATCTAAATCTTTTAGTAGGTTGACTTAAGACACATTCACTCCCTCTACTATGGGCATAACTTAAATTGAGGGTGCACTAAGCAAATCATAGGACAAAATTAGACAAATGCTCTCGAAAATAAGATGTTCAGAAAAGAAAAGCTGTGCTTATATTATGGCTGAGCGTTTTCAGCAGTCCTTGTCTTATTCTGTGTGATGAGAGGTAAGACCAGTTGACAACTTGCCTTTTCCTTAAGAGCTTCTATTAAGAACACAGAGACATCTTCAAACCTAGCACTGCATTTCATGATTTTCTACATACTGCTGCTTTCACAATCCTAAGGAATTTTTAGTAAGTCAAATATAGTTTTGGCCTTTCAAAGTATGTGTTGCCAAAAGTGTTAGCCACTATCCAGAGCTGCCTGAGCTTCAAAAATTGATTCACTTGAACAGAAAGTAGGACATAGTCTCCAAGATTATATTTCAAAAGTAAATGAATGACGTTTCAGTCAATGAACACCTTATGATTCACTCTTTGTACTACCACTTGACATGGTACCAAATTTACCCCCTGTGCATTAATTCTATAATATGCAGACCATGCATGCCTGTTAGACCATGACTTAGGTTAAAAAAAAAAAAAAAAAATCTGGGTTCCAAAACAACAAAATGGGAAGTTCTAGGGTAAGAATACTATTGACAATATGCCCGCTTCCCAATTCTCCACACTTCATGTTTGCTCATGTATAGCACAAGGGATTGCTTATCTTTCCCTAGTTTCATTTAAGTTAATGGCTGTTAGCCATAATATCTTGATTTATAGGAGAAAGTTTGGAGAAATAATGAAAACTAGGCAAATTACTACTGAACATGCCAGTCTTATATTTTTAAATTGAGGTACATGAATTCAAGACCAGCCTCTGTTCTTTCCAGCAGTAAAGTCTAATTTTCACACCTCCCAGCCATACACACTAAAATTTTTTTTTTTTTTTTTTTTGAGAGACAGGATCTCACTGTCATCCAGGCTGGAGTTCAGTGGCATGGTCATAGCTCACTGCAGTCTTGAACTCCTGGACTCAAGTAATCCTCCTGCCTCAGTCTCCCAAAGTGCTGGGATTATAGGCGTGAGCTACCACTCCCAGCCTGAAATCTTATTTTGAATTTGTCAAAAATACATGCCCTTTTTCAAGGAATCTTAAAGGCTGCTTGCTTTGTAAAAAGCAGGAACATAAAAATAAACTGTAAGGAAATTATTTCCCTTTAAAACAGCACTCCCCAACCTTTTTGGCACCAGGGTCTGGTTTCATGGAAGACAATTTTTGCACAGATGGGGGCCGGGGTGGATGTTTTCGGGATGACTCAAGGACATTACATTAATTACATTTGCAGCTGCTCCCCAGCACTATAGCATCACCACCTCAGCTTCACCTCAAATCATCAGGCATTAGATTATTAGATTCTTACAGGGAGTGAGCAACCTAGATCCCTCGCATGGGCAGTATAGAGTAAGATTTGCACTCCTTTGAAAATCTAATGCCACCACTGATCTGACAAAGGGCAGAGGTCAGGTGGTTATGCGCCTGGCCCCAAATTGCTTTAGAGTTAGCTGGGCTGGGCGCGGTGGCTTACGCCTTTAATCCTAGCACTCTGGGAGGCCGAGGAGGGCAGATTGCTCGAGGTCAGGAGTTCGAAACCAGCCTGAGTGAGAGCCCTGTCTCTACTATAAATAGAAAGAAATTAATTGGCCAACTAATATATATATACAAAAAATTAGCCAGGCATGGTGGCACATGCCTGTAGTCCCAGCTACTTGGGAGGCTGAGGCAGGAGGATAGCTTGAGCCCAGGAGTTTGAGGTTGCTGTGAGCTGGGCTGACGCCACGGCACTCACTCTAGCCTGGGCAACAAAGCCAGACTCTGTCTCAAAAAAAAAAAAAAATTAGAGTCAGCTGAATCAAAGACAATTTATGATTACAAATGGGTAAGAAGTATGTCTTCAAAAATATGTATATACAATTCATTACCAGGATTGAGGATTAAGAATCTTCATTAATTCCTTCTATTCTTCTATGAAGTCATTTTAGAGTTGAGCAAATTCTAAATATTGATACAAGATAGAGACACCAAGTGATACGTCACCTAGGAAATAGATTAAATGAAAGCCAGAGGAAATCTTTCACCAGCCCCAAATATATATGAAGTGGGAAGCTTAAAGGGAAAAAATGGAGGGACAAGAAAACTCCTTCCCGTACTTATAGGAAAAGAAACATGTGGATAAAGAATAGGTAAGCTAGAACCTGGTAAGGAACAGCCATTCACATTTGGTAGTACAGAAAGCTTACTAATATTATTTTTAAACTATTTTTAGGAGTAAAGTTACACAGGAAGGCTGTTGTGAAATGCATACTACTTTCCTTTTTAAAAATTATTTGCTGTTGACCATATTTACATTTGTTTCCTTTCAAGGTACATGTCACCTGCAAAAATAGGAGAAGATGTAGTGATTACAGCACATATTCTGAAGCAAGGAAGAACACTTGCATTTGCCTCTGTGGATCTGACTAACAAGGCCACGGGAAAGCTAGTAGCACAAGGCAGACACACAAAACACCTGGGAAACTGAGACCAGCAGGATGACCTAAAGAAACCAGCAATGAATATCAAGTGTAAATTTGACTTGAACAAATGTAACTTTCAAAATAAATTAGTAAAACCAGAAGTAGAAATATTTTCTTTGGAGAAAAGGACCCAGAGACCAAGTAGAGGAAGGTGGGGATGTCTATGTTATTTAAGTGTCTTCAGTTTTATTTTTTAATCATATATATAATTGGATGTAAAATTCTTAGCTCAAAGTGTTTTGAAAACTCAGGTGAAGCAAAGAAGCTAGCAGAGCCATTCTGAGGTAAGATTACCTTAAAACTCAATCCAATATTGAGCTAAAAGAGAAATATGAATTAATGGTTGTCTTCATTGGGGTTCCTATAGCAAAATACTAAGACTGGGTAGCTTATAAACAGAAACTTCTCATGATTCTGGAGGCTGGAACTTCTCTGACTTAGGTCAAGGCTCCAGCAGATCCTGTCTGGTGAGGGCCCACTTCCTGGTTCATAGATGATGACTTCTTGCTGTGTCCTCACATGATGAAAGGGGTAAGACAGTTCTTTATATTCTCTTTGAAAAGGGCTCAAATCCCACTCATGACTGCCATCATGATCTAATCACCTCCCAAAGACCGACCCACCCACCCTACTAATATAGTCACTCTGGGGGGTTAGGATTTCAACATATGAATGAGGGGCACACAAGTATTCAGACTATAAAAATGGCCAATGCTTGATGAATTTTAGGTCCTTCTCAGATCTAATGGGAAATGCCATGTCACACTTCCATTTCCTTTTTTAAGATTATGGAACTTCAAAATAGATGAACCATGGCCCACAGTGGGAAATAAAATATATTGAACCACATAAGTCTAAAATAGTCAAGAAAGTTTGATGCAAATCACATAATGATACACAAAATGGCCCAAATGCTTCTCTCTGATAACTTATAGAACTAGTATCTTTTAAAGGGGGCAAAAGGACTGGGTGTGGTAGCTCACGCCTGTAATTCTAGCACTCTGGGAGACCGAAGTGGGCGGATCCTTTGAACTCAGGAGTTGGAGACCAGCCTGAGCAAGAGCAAGACCCTGTCTCTACTAAAAAAAAAGTAAGAAATTAATTGGCCAACTAAAAATATATAGAAAAAATTAGCCGGGCATGGTGGGGCATGCCTGTAGTCCCACTGAGGCAGTAGGATTGCTTGAGCCCAGGAGTTTGAGGTTGCTGTGAGCTAGGCTGACGCCACTCTAGCCTGGACAAGAGTAAGACTCTGTCTCCAAAAAATAAAAATAAAATAAAAAAATAAAGGGGGAAAAAGCATACTATTATCCCCTTTTCTAGTACCTACAATAGAACCATGCAGATCTTGAATATTTCTGTCCATGGTATTGAAAAGACCAAGTTCACAAATGATTTAGCCCATTTCTCAAAGGTCTCAAACTTCTGTTGACTATAGCACCTCCCCCCCCCCCCCAAGGCAAGAGAGTCTCACTCTCTTGCCTGGGCTAGAGTGCCATGGCATCAGCCCAGCTCACAGCAACCTCAAACTCCTGGGCTCAAGCAATCCTTCTGCCTCAGGCTCCGGAGTAACTGGAACTACCGGCATATGCCACCATGCCCAGCTAATTTTTTTCTATATATTTTTAGTTGGCCAATTAATTTCTTTCTATTTTTAGTAGAGACGGGGGTCTCACTCTTGCTCAGGCTGGTTTCGAACTCCTGACCTTGAGCGCTTCTCCCACCTTGGCCTCCCAGAGTGCTAGGATTACAGGTGTGAGCCACACTGACTGGCCAACCATGGCACTCTTTAACATTTGACTTTTACGTCAGGGAGTCTTAGTGAACACTGCATTACTAAAGACTGAAAAGAAACAAAGCAGCTCTAAATAAATTTATAAATACAACAGTTAAAGGTTGGTTATCCTTCGCCTGTATTAGAATGCATGCTGATCTATCAACTGAAAGGACAGAAGCAGACACTCTAGTAGCAGTGAGCATACAGGAGACACAAGACCTTGATTTCTAGTATTTCCCACTAAAATGAATTCCTTGGATAAATAGCTGATTCCAGGGCTGAAAGCTGGGAGAGAAAAGTTACAAAATGCCCCCCAAAATTGTTGAAGACATACAACATGCACTAGGGAGAGAAAAAAAAATCTTTCAGTCCATAGTGTTTAGGTAACATAGCAGACAAACAGACTCTTCCTTAGAATGAACACTGTAAGATGTGGAGGGAGGCACAGATTTGGAAAATCACTATTATACAACCCTTATAGTTAAAAGATGGGTGTGGAAAGAATCAGCAATGGAACTCTTGATAAAGGATATTGGCATACTATTCCCCACAGACTGCTAATAAGTCCTTTACACAGTGCAGAAAACAGGATAACACTTTGACCAGGCTATCAAAAATTAACATCTACAAAGAGCAGATGGAGTATGCATCTGGATATTAAGGGCATAATGTTAATCTAATTATGAACAAATACAATTCAAATGCAAAATGAGTTTACATGAAAAACTACCCTGTACCTCAAAACGTGGAGGCCATGAAACAGGCTAAGGAACTATTTCAGATTAAAGAAGACTAGGGGCTAGGTGAGGTGGCTCATGTCTGTAATCCTAGCACTCTGGGAGGCCAAGGTGGGAAGACTGCTTGAGCTCAGGAGTTCCAGAACAGCCTGAGCAGGAGCAGGACCTCGTCTCTACTAAAAATAAAAAAATAGCCAGGCATCTTAGCACACACCTGTGGTCACAGCTACTTGGGAGGCTAAAGGAGAAGGATCATTTGAGCCCAGGAGTTTGAGGTTGCAGTGAGCTTTGCTGATGCCACTATACTCTAGCCTAGGCAACTGAGACTCTGTCAATCAATCAATGAGACTAGGGACATGACTACTAAATACAGTGATCCTATACTATAGGGGGATTTAAAAAAACACTACCAAGAATATTGAGACAGTTGACAAAACTGGAATAAGGAAGATATGTATATTAATGTTACATTCCCAGTGTTTGATAACTTTAGTTACATAAAATATTCTTGTGCTTGGAACATATATACAGAAGTTGTAAGGGGTAAGGAATCACATATGCAACTCTCAAATGGTTCAGAAAATATGTATAAATATACATAAAAGAAAAATGTGGCAAAATGATAAACTAAATGTAGAGGTAAAGTTTATAACAGAAACTTTGGCAATTTTTCTAAATTATTCCAAAATAAAACTTAAAACCATTGGCTGCTGAAATACCTAATTTAATGAACATAACTCAATATTAATAAAATAGTTAAGAGCTTGGGCTCCAGAGCCAGACAGCCTGGTTTTAAATCCTCCACTACTTATGATTCGGGCAAGTTACTTTAACCTCTGTTATCTATTTCCACTCAAGGTTGTTAGATCAAGTTAGAAGCTTAGGAGAGTACCTGGCCATAATAAACATTCAAAGTGTTATTTAAAATGGATTCTAATTTTTAGCACATCAGAGAACATGTGAAAGCATTTTGAAATTAAGAATGGTATTTCTTATTTTTCATGAAGCAGGGCATAAAGCTACGCTGTTGTTGAAAGCTGACAAAATGTCTGTGATTCATATTGCTGAAGTTACAAACTCAACTGCCAGCTTTTTTCCTTCTGAATGTACTCTTTAGCCATGGATTATAAAATAATCCCCTAAGGTGACCAGTAATATCTACCAACGACTTGGGGAAAAAAGTTACCACTTCAAGCTTTGTGTATTCACCTGAAAAGTCAGGGAACTTTCACCTATTTTATTTAGGTTTTCATTTTTCAAATTCCAACCAGAAGCTAAATACAATTGGAAACCAGTAAGCACTAGTTTTACTCCAAAGGAGTAGGATCATTCAGATTTACTCCAATAAAAGTATGCAACCCTTAAGCAAAGCTTTTCTTCATTTAAAAGAAAAAAAAACCAAAACTATACAGTAGTCTTTCCTTATGTTCATTGCACAAAATGTGTTCTGCTTTTAGAACTTTGACACTCAATGGTTATTTTTACAATTTAATATTCCAACTTTTATAACTTTTTTCTACTCCAAAAAACCCTCTAAGTTTTTCTTTAGGAAGTGTAGAAACCAGTATTTCTGCACAATTCACTGGATTTTTTTTCTTTGTAATAAAAATCTCTTTTTAAAACCCAAAAGCAAAACAAAAACCAAAAAGGAAAGTCCTCTATCTATCATGGTTTCTGCAGCTATGAATGTATTTCTCAGTTTTATAGCTGCTTTAGCTACTTCAGACTCCAGATCTGCTTTAATGTGTATAACTGCATCCACACTCAGCAGAATACTCTTACAACAGCAACTTGGGGAAAGAGATCTGGAAAGAAAATACATGTATTTATGAGTACCAGGAAACAAACATGGCCCAGTAAAACATGAGGCAAGAATGCCTACAATGAGATGCTTTTTTCATTTAAGATTTCTTTCCCATGGTTGTAATTTCTTTTTTAAACAACCACTTCTGGTTATCAGAATGAATCTGACAGTGCTCTGGAACAACGGTGATTATAGCAAAGCTATTAAGTTTTTGAAAATGTTATTTATACCTGTTACATTCACTTCTCACCCTCTAAATACTGATGACAGATGTCAAAGAGGCAAAAAACCAGCACAAATGGGAAGACCATCAAAAATGAGTATCACCTTGTGCTTTCAAATACATTTAAGCATTTCAGTGTACAATAGTCCTTTCATTTCACATTTTTAGTAAGATGCTGATGCAGTGCAGCAAATATGCAAAGCATCTTCTTTCACACAGTCCGTGCAGAAGACATCTAATTTTTTTTTTAAGTTCTGAGATACAAATGATTAAAAAAAAAATCCAGGATGAACAAGTTTCAAAATGCATAGTGTTCTGTGCATGAGTCCATTTTCTTTAAACTCTGAAAGAATAAAGTGGTAAGAAAAAATAAGAAAAAAATCGCTGCTGCATTCTCTGATCTTCTCCATTTTGCTGGTCAGCACTCTATTCTGGCATATAAGGACGGAGGTGATCCTCTATGGTGCCAACTGCCCAGTGGGTGAGCTGTTCCTGTGGCAGGTAGAGGCAGATGCTGCATAACTTGAAGATTGTAGCTTTGTTTTTTGGAGTCTAGAAGAGAAAAAATTTTAATATTCTTAATAAGACTTCAACATAACATAACTGTCACATAAAGTCAATCTCTCCCACAATTTATTAAGCACCTATGGGCACAGTAACAAACAAACAGAGTAAAGGATAAAGTATGGTTCCTACCCATAGTCTAGTTAGAAAGACAGAACCTTACTATACAAAAAACAAAAAAAATAGAGTAAAAAATGACTGTAAATTAAATAAATGTTTAGAGAATTTCTACAGAATTAAAAGATAAGAAATTAAGGCCGGGCGCAGTGGCTCATGCCTGTAATCCTAGCACTCTGGGAGGCTGAGGCAGGCAGATTGCTTGAGGTCAGGAGTTTGAAACCAGCCTGAGCAAGCAAAAGTAAGACCCCGTCTCTACTATAAATAGAAAGAAATTAATTGGCCAACTAATATATATACACAAAAAATTAGCCGGGCATGGTGGCACATGCCTGTAGTCCCAGCTACTCAGGAGGCTGAGGCAGCAGGATCGCTTGAGCCCAGGAGTTTGAGGTTGCTGTGAGCCCAGGCCTGAACCGCCACGGCACTCACTCTAGCCTAGGCAACAAAGTGAGACTCTGTCTCAAAAAAAAAAAAAAAAAAAAAAGAAATTAGAGGTAAAGGCATTTAATGGGACAAACTTGAGTAGAGGTTTGAAGACCTATTTATATACATAAGACAGAAAGCTTATTTGGTGAGAGAAGCTATGGGAAGGATTAAAAATAGGTAAAGATTAAGCATTTCCTGGCGTAAGAGATTAGAAAGCCAAAGTATTACCAGGTAAATTAAACACTAAGTATCATTTATTAGTAGTTACCATTTGAACAGCTAACCTATGAATAGCATGTGCTAGATGCTTTCACAAACTAAAACTACTGCTAGTGAATGTGAGATGGAATCTGAACCAGACCAGACCTTTTCACTACAGCACCTCTAAAAGGCAAAAGACTTTGACTTTGTTGATGTCTGAAGTAGTCTATATATATATATACACACACATTAGTTTATTTAAAATGCCACGACATATGTACCCACACATATGTACATGTATTACTTCATATTAAATGTCACAAACACCTTATGACTCTCATTTGCTCAATTTAACAGAAAGAATATGCTCATAGAAGTTATGTGCCCAAATAAGAGCCAGCAAGTGCTGCATCTATATATATTAGAACCCACCAACTCCAAGTTTGTCTTTCTAAAACACCTGCCCATCTAAAATTATCATTATCATATAAATCTTATATTATGACAAAAGCACAAAAACTCTATTAGGTGATTTTGATCAAGTTAGTTAATTTATTTCCTTAGCTATAAAGTGGGAACAGTAAATACCTACACCTCATAGGACTGTTATGAAGATAAACAAGTTCATAACATGTAAAGCTTAGTATAAAGCCTGAATCACGAACATACTACACGTTAGCCACTATTGTATCAATTCCCCCAAGAATTAAACAAGTTCATACATGTAAAGCTCTTAGTATAGAGCCTGATACATAACACACTATATGTGTTAGCTACTATCATATCAATTCCCCCATAAACTAGTGGCAGTTGAGTCTTTTTTTTTTTTTTTAAAAAGAGTCTCACTCTGTTGCCTGGGCTAGAGTGCCGTGGTGTCAGCCTAGCTCACAGCAACTTCAAACTCCTGGGCTCAAGCGATCCTCCTGCCTCAGCCTCTTGAGTAGCTGGGACTACAGGCATGCGCCAACACACCTGGCTAATTTTTTTCTATTTTTAGTTGTCCAGCTAATTTCTTTCTATTTTTTGAGTAGAGACAGGGTCTCGCTGTTGCTGAGGCTGGTTTGGAACTCCTGACCTCAATCAATCCTTACCCTCGGCCTTCCAGAGTGCTATACAGGATTGACCCACCTCGCCTGCCCTGATTCTTCTTTACAATGCAAATATGGTGACGCATCTCCAGCAAAACCTGAATGGAGGAAGGACTAAAAGCACTGGAGAGGCCAAGCACAGTGGCTCATGCCTGTAATCCTAGCACTCTGGGAGGCCAAAGCAGAAGGATCACTTGAGCTCGGGAGTTCCAGACCTGCCTGAGCAAGAAGAGTGAGACCCTGTCTCAGCAAAAAAAAAAAAAGAAAAATTAGCTGTGTGTGCTGGTCACCCTACCTACAACCCAAATTTAGCTTAATTTAGCTTATGAACTTAACATTTTCTTTTCATTAAAAGGATTCAAGCTGTTTGTTTTTAACTCATAGAAAAGATCTGTCCTTGATGCAAAACAGGACATGATTTACTATTTATATAGCACAGTCACTAGTCATTTCCATATAGTATTAATGATCTCATAGTATATTCACAAAAAAATGAAGTCTAATTTCTCTATGCTAGTATACTAGTCATCATATTAAAGCTTCTGTGACTAAAAATGTGTATTGTGGATTCCATATGTCAATAACCTTTAACACTGGATAAAAAAGGACAAGTGCCTGCTATATAGTATTTTCTCAACAAATACTTCAAATGGAAGTACACTACAGGGAATTAAAAAGAAAAATAAGAGAAAAATAAGAGTTAACTTAAAAACATCTACCAGAAAAGAGCTAAAGAAAAAACTGCAAAAAACCCCACACTCCCCAAATCCCACCTAAGTTATAGTTTTCTATTTAGTTTTATTAAATTCCTCCACCAAATTAATTTTCTCCTGTAATTCCCACAGTTCTTTTATTTGTACCTATACCATAATTACTTTTTTTTTTTTTTTTAAGACAGAGTCTCACGCTGTTGCCCCGGCTAGAGTGCCGTGGCATGAGCCTAGCTCACAGCAACCTCAAACTCCTTGGGCTCAAGCAATCCTTCTGCCTCAGCCTCCCGAGCAGCTGGGACTACAGGCATGCACCACCATGCCCAGCTAATTTTTTTCTATATATGTTTAGGTGGCCAATTAATTTCTTTCTATTTTTAGTAGAGACTGGGTCTCACTCTTGCTCAGGCTGGTTTCAAACTCCTGACCTTCAGTGATCCGCCTGCCTGGCCTCCCAGAGTGATAGGATTACAGGTGTGAGCCATCCACACCTGGCCTATACCATAATTACTTAACTTTCTATAAGGCAGTAGTTCTAGTGTGATTTGTCTTTACATTTTCTTAATATCTTGCATTTTCTTTCTTAACTAAACATATGGTCTATAATGAATGGTAACTATTATCATAATAAATTCTTTAGGTCTTTACTTAAATCACTTTCTCAATGAGGCCTGTTCGGTTGATACCATTTAAGAATTCAAACACCTGGCCAGGCGTAGTGGCTCATGCCTATAATCCTAGCACTCTAGGAGGCTGAGGTGGGCACATTGCTCAAGGTCAGGAGTTCGAAACCAGCCTGAGCAAGAGCGAGACCCCTGTCTCTACTATAAATAGAAAGAAATTAATTGGCCAACTAATATATATAGAAAAAATTAGCGAGGCATGGTGGCACATGCCTGTAGTCCCAGCTACTCCGAAGGCTGAGGCAGGAGGATTGCTTGAGCCCAGGAATTTTGAGGTTGCTGTGAGCTAGGCTGACAGCCACGTCATCGCTGTAGCGTGGGCAACAAAGTGAGACTCTGTCTCAAAAATAAATAAATAAAATTAGCCAGGCATGGTGGCACATGCCTGTAGTCCCAGCTACTCAGGAGGCTGAGGCAGAAGGATTGCTTGAGTGAGCCCAGGAGTTTGAGGTTGCTGTGAGCTAGGCTGACGCCACGGCACTCTAGCCCGGGCAACAGAGTGAGAGTCTGTCTCAAAAAAAAAAAAAAAAAAAAAAAAAAAGAATTTAAATATCTAATAGTCTTTATCTCTCTACCGAAGTTTCTTTTTCTCTTAGTACTTACCATTTTTTGGAAACAGAGTCTCACTTTGTTGCCCCAGCTAGAGTGAATGCCCTGGCATCAGCCTAGCTCACAGCAACCTCAATCAATCTCCTGGGCTCAAGTGATCCTACTGCCTCAGCCTCCCGAGTAGCTGGGACTACAGGCATGTGCCACCATCCCTGGCTAATTTTTTGTATATATATTTTTTGTTGGTCAATTAATTTCTTTCTCTTGTTAGTAGAGACGGGGTCTTGCACAGGCTGGTTTTGAACTCCAGACCTCGAGCAATCCACCTGCCTCGGCCTCCTAGAGTGCTAGGATTACAGGCGTGAGCCACCACACCCAGCCTAGTACTTATCATTTATAAAGACATTTTTACTGCTGGATCTCCCATGATGGAATGTGAATTCAAGAAGGCAGAAATTTTTATCTATTTTGTTCATTGCTGTAAAGTGCTTTGCAATATACAGGCATTCATTTGTTAAGTAAATGGTAAATAAATTAGGATGATGTTATTTTTAGAGATTAATAAACTTATAATTAAGAAGCTATTATAAATTCTAAGTGATGACATTCAGTGCTGAAAATAAAGCATGTCTTATAGAATGAAAACTAAATTGGAATACCTGGACTGCTGCTTACTTTAGAAATGCTTACTTGAAGTATATCTGGATCTTTTAAATACAGAAGTGCCTCATCCCTTTAGATTTTGATTTAAAAGGTCTAGGCCAGTGCTTCTCAAATTCTAATGTATTACAAATCACCTGAGGAATTTGTTTAAAATGCAGGTTTTGATTACACAGGACAGGAATAGGGCCTGAGCATCTACATTTTTAACAAGTTCCCAGGCATTGTTTATCTGTTGACTACAAGACAGGTTTCTCTAGAGCAGTTCTCACCATTGTTCACCAGAATGACTTAAAATCTCCCAGGTACCAGGTAGTTTCAATGTGAAAGCTGGGAACCATTGTTCTAGAGCAGCAGTCCTCAGCCTTTCTGGCACCAGGGACTGATCTCTTGGAAGACAGTTTTCCCAGGGGTGGGGGCTATGGGAGTGATGCAATGGGGAACAGCTATAAATACAGATGAAGCTTCCACCTGCCGTGCACCACCACTGCCCCCACCCCCTTCCTAAGTTTCAAGGAAGACAATTTTTGTGGCCTATGGACTGAGGACCCCAGTACTAGTGTGAGGCCTAGCATATCTGTTTCTTTAACAACTTCAAAAATTGTACAGTGTTGTGGGGGGCATAACAGAATTAAGTAACTTGTATAAGAAACAGTTTCCTGCCAGGTGTGGGGTGGCATGCCTGTAGTCCAATCTACTTGGGAGGCTGAGGAAGGAGGATCGCTTACACCTAGGAGTTCACATCTAGCCTGGGCAACAGAGTGAGACTCGATCTCTTTTACTTTTATTTATGTTTTTTTAGTAGAAACAGGGTGTTGCTCTGTCACCCTAGACAGAGTGCAGCGGTGGGATCATAGCTCACTGCTGTGAACTTGAACTCCTGGACACAAGCAATCCTCCTGTCTCAGCCTCCCAAGTAGCTAGTACTACAGGCTCAGGCCACCACACCCAGCTAATTTTTCTCATTATTATATTTTTAAATTTCTTTTATTTCAGCATATTACAGGGGTACAAATGTTTAGGTTACATATATTGCCTTTGCCCCACCCAAGTCAGAGCTTCAAGCATGTCCATCCCTGAGACAGTGTGCACCATACCCATTAAGTGTGTATATACCCATTCCCACCTCCCCTCTATTATTATTTTTTTAGAGACAGGGTTTTGTTATGTTGCCCAGGCTGTCTGAAACTCCTGGCCTCAAGCAATCCTCCCACCTTGGTCTCCCAAAGTGCTGGGATTACAGGTATGAGCCACAGGACCCAGTCCTGTCTCTTAAAAAGTTTACTAACCAATAAGATCTCAAATGAGTCCTTAAATGGTTTTCAAAATAATGCTTACCTGCAAGTGCTGTCTGTCAATGAAGAGAAACACTGACTGGTTAGGATTGTTGACAACAATTCCAGTCTTGTCCTTGCGGCTCAGTACGTGCAGAAACTGTTTTTCATAGTCACCGTGATGAAACTCAAATTTGGCCTAATCATAAAATATAAACATTTATATTTAACCACAAACATGTTACGCTACCTGAAACATCTGCAAACATATGCATACGTGTATGCTGTCTAATATGGTAGTCAACAGCCACAAATAGCTACTTAAATTTAATTAAAATTATATGCAATTTAAGATTCAGTTCTTCAGTAACTCCAGCCACATTTCAAATACTCAGTAGTCACATGTGGCCTACTGGCCACCATTTTCAACAATCTCTTGAGATATAGAACATTTCCTTCATTGCAGAAAGTTGGATAGTACTCTAAAGCACACTGTTATGGCTCTTGTAAAGAAATCTGTTTATGCCAATCCTAACTGTACATTTCACTAGTTATGTAACCTTAAGCAAATAATCCAAATTTTTTAAACTTCAGCTTCTTCATCTATGAGGCTCTAACCCATTTCATAGGACAGTTAAGAGAATTTCATGAAATGTAAATGCTCCACAATTGAAATATAGAGTCCCACTCCTCATAGAGATGAGCTTTTGAGGACATATAAACTATAAACCTCTTTGAAATTTTTTTTTTTTTTTTGAGACAAAGTCTCACTTTGTTGCCCAGGCTAGATTGAGTGCCCTGGCGTCAGCCTAGCTCACAGTAACCTCAAACTCCTGGGCTCAAGCGATCCTCCTGCCTCAGCCTCCCAAGTAGCTGGGACTACAGGCATGCGCCACCATGCCCAGCTAATTTTTTCTATATGTATTAGTTGGCCAATTAATTTTCTTTGTATTTATAGTAGAGACGGGGTCTCGCTCTTGCTCAGTGGTTTTGAATTCCTGACCTCCAACAATCCACCTGCCTCGGCCTCTCAGAGTGCTAGGATTTCAGGTGTGAGCCACCAAGCCCGGCCTGAAATTTTTTAAAAAGTATTTTAATGTGCATTTTTCCACAGCTAGCCTCAAGGCTGTTTTAAAAAAATTCTTAAAGTTATCAAAAATTGTTATCAAGTCAGAACATTCCTTCAATCTTTTAATATGAGGAAAATCAACTCTATTCTCTCACAAAATTGTCTGTGGGCATTGGGAGAGGCCAAATGCTAGGTGAAAAGGTAAGGCTTAATGGTGGATCCAAGAAACCTAGACTTAATCTGATGTTTAGATAATAGTGAATTATAAAAATGATTGTTACTCCATTTGGTTCAAACAATTTTTATTACTATTATGTCAAAAATAGTAGGAAATAGCAAGATGGAAAAAACAAAAAAACAAAACAAAAAAAAGGCTGGGCATAGTGGCTGACGCCTGTAATTCCCACACTTTGGGAGGCTAAGGCAGAAGATCACTTGAGCCCATGAATTCAAGGTTACAGTGAGCTATAATCAGGCCACTCCACTCCAATCTGGGCAACAGAGCAAGACTCTGTCTCTAAAAAAGAAATAAAAATAAAAAATAAAATACAAGCATTAAAAAAAGTATGCAAGTTAAAATTTACCATTCCTTTTTTCATTTACCTTGAGAAAGAAAAAACTAAGTCATTTACATTTAAAGCCTCTCCTTCAGGATATTCATATAATTTAGATTACTGCAGAGAAATAAATATTATTTACTGCAATTAAATTATAAAATTACAAGTTATTACCTATATCCTACTACTTATATTCCATCCAAAATTTAAGGTTTTATAATTAATATACAGAACTTTTCATAGTATAAGGTAGAGAGTTAAGAGCATAACCTTAAGCTTTTTTCTTGGCCATGAACTTAACTCCATGACCTTGGGCCTGTTATTTACCTACTTTCTAACTGGCTCAGTTTCTTTCTCTATAAAAGGAGGCTCATATCTACCTAGTTATTTTAAGGACTAATATTAAACGTATATAAAGTACTTCAGAGAAAGCCTAGCACAATCAACTCTCAATAAACATTAGCCATGATTTCAAAGAATAGTACTTGAGACAAGACTATTTTAGCTCAACTATTCCAAATAAGATCTCAGATAGAAAGGTTATTAGAAATCTGAAAACATACCATGATAAGTAGACCTACATATTACAATGAGAAATTCTAAAGTAAAAAACCACCAAAAACATCCTAACAATGCTTCTGGGAGAGCAGTAAGTGTTAAAGCATAAGCCCTCCTCTGAGAACTTCAAACACATCTTTTCTATTCCTGTTTTCATTCCTTTTATATTCAATTGATATATTGGTGGTTATATCCAGATAAACCCACCGTAAGTTGAAAGGCACTTTCAACTTCAAGATATTTTCAATTACAGTGGGTTTATCTAGAGGTAGTCTCATCATAAATCAAGAATATTGAATGCTTATCATTTTCACATCATGGTAAGGTCAAAAAATCTTAAGTTGAACCACTGTAAATCAGGGAAGTCTATTACTTTTACCTGCATTTAGCTTATGAATTATCTTTAGAACTTATTACTGTCAAACAGATCTTAGAAAAAGGAATGACAATTTATTTGAGCTGATGTATAGCCACATGACCATGGAGGCAGGGAAGTATACCAACTTATACAGTTTATCACATACAAAATGTCACAAAGATATTCCACAGTAATGAACAGATGCTAAATTTTTTACATGAAAAATACTTTTCATAGTTCTGCACAGCTAGCTTAAAATAAGCCTTCTAATATTTGGTTTAGTATACTTAAAATGAATCCTTAAATGTGATTTTTTTCTAATTGTAAATAACAGCACATTCACTGTAAGAAAATTAAGGATATCTACAATAAATGAAAAAGGAAATATATATGATAAAAAAGGAAAAGTAGGCGGGTGTGGTGGATCACGCCTGTAATCCTAGCACTCTGGGAAGCCAAGGCGGGAGGACTGCTTGAGTCCAGGAGTTTGAGACAAGACTGAGCAAGAGCAAGACCTTCTCTCTACAAAAAGTACAAAAAATTAGCCGGGTGTGGTGGCATGTGCCTGTAGCCCAGCAACTATTCATGGGAGTCTGAGGCAGGAAGATTGCTTTAGCCCAGGAGTTTGAAGTTGCAGTGAGCTATGATGATGCCACTGCACTCAAGCCAGGCAACAGAGTGAGACCCTATCTCAAAAAAAAATGACTGCTTTAGAAGATTTTTTTTTTTTTTGAGATAGAATCTTGCTTTGTTGCCCAGGCTAGAGTGAGTGCCTTGGCGTCAGCCTAGCTCACAGCAACCTCAAACTCCTGGGCTCAAGTGATCCTGCTGCCTCAGCCTCCCGAGTAGCTGGGACTACAGGCATGCGCCACCATGCCTGGCTAATTTTTTCTATATATATTAGTTGGCCAATTAATTTCTTTCTATTTATGGTAAAGACGGGGTCTCGCTCTTGCTGAGGCTGGTTTCGAACTCCTGACCTCGAGCAATTCACCCGCCTCAGCCTCCCAGAGTGCTAGGATTACAGGCGTGAGCCACCGTGCCTAGCCTAAAAGATTTTATCTAGTTGTAATTTCAAAGACACTGGGCAGTTAAAACCATCTCCTGTCAAGTGATTCCATAATCCAAATATTTTATTCTCTTGTATCACAATACTCAAAAGAAAAAGTGGGTCTCATGAAATAAAACTATTAAAAAGCATATTGCCAAAGAATTGTTCAAGTTAGGCCCTATTCCAGGAGTTTTTACTTATTGAAGTAGTCATCACACTTATTTTTAGAATACCTGAACAGGCCTAAAGGGCTCATCAGATTCCTTCCACCTAGAAAACAGGAGACAGACAATTTTTTCAATATCATTCCGAGGCCAAAGAATGAAATCCATCTCCTGAGTACAGCCAATTACATCCTAGAAAATGATGACAAAAAGAAAAAAAAAATACTTAAAAAAAAAAAACATCACCATTGTATTTGGGAAGCATGTAAATTAAAAAAAAAAAGGTAAAACAAAGCTATAACAAGCAGTGTCACAAATTACAGGATTTGACTATAGGAACATTTTACAAGTATAAAAGGACCACTATAATATCATTTTTAAAAGCTAACAGTAATAGGAATGCCTACAATCTGAACAGCTCATGACCTAATTTTAATTTTTATCATACAGAGTCACATATAGTCACTCAGTGCAATGTTCCTTACACCAAGACTTAGATTCATTGATGCATGGTGAAAACTCCAACTAAAACTCTGATTGTTGCTGTTGTTTGACCTTGTACCTTATTCCACCCTTCAAAATCAGAACCTATTGAACAAAGGTGTCTTGGAACTTCTAATTGAATCAGTATCTTTTTATCACAGATGAAATGTTATTTTTATGTGTTGACAGAAAACTACTTTTCTCCATTCTTGACCTCTTCTTCATTATCGTGGCCAGCATATTAATTTTCCAAGGCCAAAAAAGCTCTTCCAGACCAGTACAAGGTTATCTCCAGCCTCTCTCCACCCCCAAATAATTGGGATGGGGGGTTCCTCTTGTTCAAGTATGCCCAGACTAACTGTTTGCAGTTTGAAAGGGTGTTGCAGTTTGGAAGGGTGGCAGCAATACCTTCTTAAGTTTCTCATTTATAAAGGGGCATGATTTTAGTTCTCCCCCAAAAGGAAAATTCAATGAACAGTAATATAAAGCATTCACAATAATAATGTACACCACCATCAGCATAATTCCACATAAGCAAAACTATCCTAGTTTTATTTGAAGTCAATTTTTGAAAAACAAACCTACTTTAGGAATTTAAAACAATTCTATGCACAGCACTTAAGTTATTAAAACTAGTTGGCTATCACAAGTAGCTAACATTGAATGATGAAATCCCTCTATATACTTTATCTATAAAGAATGGGGCAAAACTACATTTTCCCAACCCTATTAATAGTACATGTTTAAAGTTTCTAAAGCAAGATCCCAGTTATTAATATGGCACAAGACAAATTTATCTCCAGAGATTCATTACCATAGTAACTACGGGGGGGGGGGGGGGGATGCAAACTTAAACCACAAAAACTTGCCAACTTGCCAAGTTCAGACTTAAAAAACAAACTTACCCTTCTCATAGACTGGTATCTAGGAGCATGGAGCTGTACCACATCCTTTTGTAAAAGCTCTATGGAACTTTCCAAGGAATAGCTGGAGTCTCGCACACCTTTCAGGATATTGTCTTCATAATTATTTGTCATGACTGGTATAACCTCAGACACTTCAAAAAGTGCCGACTTTTTCTTCTAAAAGAAAACAAAATGGTATATTAATTCACTGGGAGCACACTGTCTTTTAACACCCAATTCATATTACAATGTCAAGTACCTATATTCTAATTCTGCAAAATTCTTAACTGAAGTAATTTTTATACTGAAAACATAGATTTTCAGATAGGTGGATCCTTCTGTTCTTACCCCTAAACATACTTATTTTAGATAATAGTATTTCTTAAATACTATAAGAAACAAACACCAGATACCCTAAAGTTTAAGGGAAAGGAAAAAGCAGTGATGTAGTCTTGATATAACTTCATTTAACTGGTTCTACATACAGCTAAATAATAATTTCACCACTTTAAAAACAACAGAGCTATTCAGAAAAATTAACTATTTCTTAAATGAATCAATTCCTATCACTCTTCCTGGATATTATATAATCACAAATGTTAACATTCGAAAGTATTTTTTAAAAGGTACACCAAATTGTTTCAAAATTAGTTAAGAGCAAATGCTCACCATGAACCTAGCTTTAAAAATCCAATATTATGAAGTATAAAACATGAACTACTCAGGACAGTTGCACAAACACTGTCCATTCAAAGAATAAAATCAGATTTTCACAGGTTTTAAAGAACTAGATGGTACAATTAGGAGTGATTTATAGATTAAATACAAAGATCTAGTCTCAACACTTCAATCTTGGATCTAGCAAGCCTACATTATAATACCTTCAACTAAATCTAATCTAATCAATTTTGAGTTAACTTGTCAAAAAAAAGTAAGAAAAAGAAAATGGACGCTGGGCACAGTGGCTCACACCTGTAATACTAGCACTCTGGGAGGTCGAGGCAGAGCTCAGGAGTTGGAGACCAGCCTGAGCAAGAGCGAGACCCTGTCTCTACTAAAAATAGAAAGAAATTAATTTGACAACTAAAAATATACAGAAATAATTAGCCAGGCATGGTGGCGCATGCCTGTAGTCCCAACTACTTCGGAGGCTGAAGCAGAAGGATTGCTTGAGCCCAGGAGTTTGAGACTGCTGTGAGCTATGCTGATGCCATGTCACTCTTGCCCGGAGTAAGACTGTCTCAAAAAAACAAAAAGAAAATGGGAACATAAATCTTTGATACAACCCAATCTTGGGACAATCATTTCAAACAAATTACTTTGAAACTATTTTACAAAGCAGCTAAAGTGTTCTTAAATAGAAATAACCATTAAGAGTGGGGTAACAACCTGGAAAACTTGCAAATACTGATACCACACTAAGATTATATTTCTGATTTGAAATTAACCCACATTCTAAGTGCAAATAGTACTTCCTCATATTCATAACTTAATCTCATGTCACATAGCCTTGTTGATAATTTAAGAAACTATCCATTTTAAGTTGTAAATAAATACTGCTTTTATCATGTCCTTGATTACTCAAAACTCGCTGCTAATTAACTGCAGAACTAATTCTGAGTAAGAAAAAATATCCTTTAGGTCATTTTGGATCTTTAAACATTGCACTTCTAAACACAAATTAACCATGTCAGTACTTAATTGTTCCTATAAACGTATATTCTATTTAATTAAATGTACCATGAGAAAAGGTACCTACATCATGGAGTTGAAGAAAATAGGCTGATATTACCATACAAACACTTGGATTCTAATTTAACACTTTCAAACATTCTATTTATGTTTACATTAATCTTTGCATTCAGTTATAAAGTTCCCTATGTAATTCCGCATAAAGTTCTACAATGTTGCTCACCCCATGTCAACTAAATTTGGAATCTACTAAGGTTTTGACAATCTTTCCAAACCAAAAAAATACTCAAGGGCCTTCCATTCATAACTACACTGCAAATGCTCAATTCATAGAACCACCCAAAGGATGAAAAACGAAGCGTATAGGGCAGACTTTTTCCCCCAACTACTCTTTTTTTTTGGAGACAGAGTCTCACTTTGTTGCCCAGGCTAGAGTGAGTGCCGTGGCATCAGCCTAGCTCACAGGAACCTCAAACTCCTGGGCTCAAGCAATCCTGCTGCCTCAGCCTCCCAAGTAGCTGGGACTACAGGCATGCACCACCATGCCCGGCTAATTTTTTGTATATATTTTTAGTTGGCCAATTAATTTCTATCTCGCTCTTGCTCAGGCTGGTCTCAAACTCCTGACCTCGAGCAATCCACCTGCCTCGGCCTCCCAGAGTGTTAGGATTACAGGCGTGAGCCACCACGCCCGATCCCCCCCAAGTACTCTTTAACCTAATATTCATATTTAAGAGTAACAATCAACTTAATATACACTTACAAAAATCACTTGTGCTAATTCACATTAAGAACTTTAAATTACCTTCTCCTTGAATACAAAGGCAATATACATCTTGAAGTCAAACTGGTCAGCTAGAGATTCTTTTTTCTTTCTAAGCTGAGCACGTAGTCTGTTCAGAGCTTGTTTCTTCCGGGAGTTTGGGTCCCCCATTTTGAAATACAGGTGGTACTAAAGCCTTTGGAAATTGTCACTAAACTATGGGCACTTTTTCTTAAGACTCAAGTACAACAGAAACAAGTCATTTTTTTCCTGCTAATATGATTGAATAGCTAAAATCACAACTGTAACCCAAAACTGCACCCGCTGGCACTATTAGCAGACTGTCATATTACAGGGTCAAGAAACAAAAGCTGCTGTCCTGTCATGTTTGGACAATAATGTTTGGGGTCAGATGGGAAAAAGGAAAGGAAGGAAGGAAAGAAAGGAGAAAATACTTGAACTAACTTTCTGGAAAACACATTTGGCTTAACTGCCAAATTAAAGGCTTTGGGGGGAAATGAAAAGCCTATAATCAGGATTTAGGTGTGCAACAAAACACAGCGGACACCAATCCAATCCATAAAATCCATCCGGATTTTTCCCCCTTTTTAGAAAAGGAACAGGGAGGAGGAAAGTGTGATCCTTGTTTTCCAAATACAAAAAATTAAAAAAAAAAAAATACTAAAACAGGGTAGGTGAATGAAACTGAAATATCCAATTGGACTTTACCCAGCCAGATCCATGGCCGTAGTACCTAATTAATTCTTAGTTATTTCAGATTTCACTATTGCTATGTATTGTCAGTGCTTGTTATTGATTACACTTGGTGGCGAGCAAAGAGAAAAGTGCAAAATCGGTAGAGAAGGAAGGGGAGAGGTACAGGGTTTCCCTGCAATCAACTACAGTGTATACTGGGGGCGGGCAGCTGTTGCCCAAAGGAGCCATAAGAAAAAACAGCGGAGTCATTACCAACTTCCCCATCACCCACATTTTCACCCTCAGGCGGCTGCTAATGCTGCTGCCAAGGAGAATCATTATGGCAGAGGAAAAGAGGGTATATAATACGGTGTTAATAATTATTCCGGCTCTGTGGTTAGATCTGATTAATGCCCGGGTTCTCAACACTCCCAGCCCTGCAACTAGTCCTACATTCCCCAAGGGAGTCTTCCCTGTGGATCTGCCCTTGTTCAAGATGGTAGGGAGTGTGATTTATCTTCTTGTGAGCATTGCTGAGGCAAAGGTGGCAGATTCTTCTCCCAAATCCCAGGCAACGCCCGGGGACCACCTGCCTTCCACCCCCCAGGTCCCACCCCCACCCCTTGCCTTCAGCGGCAGCGACTCACTCGCACCACGGGAGACACAGGATCACTCAGGTTTTCACTCATTTCATCGTGGAAACAATTCCCGCCCGGGTAGAGTAGGCGGGAGTGGGTAAATGGGAAGGATCAGTGGGAAAAAAAGAAAATAGTTGTGTTAATATTACTTTTTAAAGTAAGCCCACCCACCCCCAAGAAAAATTAAGTTCCCGGATTCCGGATTAGCTAGCTCTCAAGTTGAACAGACCATGTTTCCAGAGTTTGGATTGTTTAGGGTGGGGTCGTTAGTTTCCCAAGGGGGCAGGGGTTGGAATCAAGGCAGCTGGGGCGGGGTGGGTGACGGGGAAATCCCCTCCCTGTCCCCGCGGAGACCGGGACTCACGGACCGACTCTCAGGCGGGGGTTTGGGCCCTCTAGCCTGCGGGCGGAGCGGTGGCGGCGGCGGAAGAGGAGGCGGCGGCGGGGGCGCTGCTCGCAGCACGGGCAGGAGCCATGTCAAGAGAAAACCACCAGCCAACTGAGCCCCTCCATCCCCGCTGCAGTGCGCACTGTGACCGGGCCGCCCGCGCTGCTGCCGCCGCTCAGCCCCCACCTGGGACCCATAGTCTGGCTCGGCGCCCTGGACGGCGACGTAGGGGAAGGACGTGGGGGCAGCGGCGACCGGGAGAGAAAAAGAAAAGGAGGAAAATCGAGGAGAAAGAGAGGGAGTTAGATTGGTACTGGCGGCGGAGGGGGAAGGGAAGGAGGGAAAGGGAGCCCTGCGCTAAGGGGTCTGTCAGAGAAGTAAACCCCCCAAAATAAAGTTATTTCAGTTCAAGCATCTGCTCTTGAGTCTTTCTTCCCCCCACAGTCGGGTTCCGTTCTCAGGAAAGAAGGTCGAGGAGACCCGGAGGGGGAAAAGCCGGAGCGGATGGTGAGCGTCCGCGGTGGCACAGCCTCGTTCCCCCCCCACCGATGGCTGCGGAAGCGGCGGCGGCCTCGGGCGCCTCCCGGGTCCGGGGCAGAGTCGCGTTTGAGAAAAGAAGCGAGAACAAACAACTTAAAATGGCAGCGACGGCCGCTGCGTCACCCGCCCCTCACCGGCACCGCCCCGAGCGCTCTGCGGCTGCGCACCGCGCGGGCCTCCACCATCTGCGCAGGAGCAAAGGGGGGGAGAGGATTGGCAGCGAGAAGGTTTTCAAGATTATCAAGGAAGAGGAAAGACTATCACGAGGAGAGGAAATTAATAAGCCTAGAAAAATACGAGTCTTTGAAGTGAAACTTCTCGTTTAATATTCCTCCTCAAGGGCAAGTTTGAGAGTTGAGACTCCCCTCTCCTCCGGTATGGAGTTATCATGGGGCGGGGAAAGGGGCTCCCCCACCATTCCCCCCCGCCCTCTCCTTCAGGAAGTCCCAGTCTCCAGGGTCGACTCTCGTTCCTTCCTCCACTGACGTCATAAAACCACGCCCCTATGCCCTACCCGACAAAACACCCGGATGGAGTCGCTCTATTCCTGGTTTTGTCAGTGCCTCGGACTTCGGCTGGGCGCGGGACAGAACTAGGGAAGTGGTCTGAGAGTGGGCGAGGGTGCGGGCGGAGTGAAGAAGGAAAAGGAAGCTGTCTGTTGAAAGGTTGAGAGAAGATTCTTCTTTCACTTCAGTGTCCTTGGTCATCTTTCTGGGCATCTGCCCCGCGGTATCTTGCGGCGGCAAACAGAGTATTCATTTCCAATAGCTGGAATTTAAACGGCCTGCAGCAGAAAATGTCTCACGTTAGTCCCACGCGGCTCTCTGTCCCCACCCCGCCACGTGCGCGGGCAGGCGGGGCGGTTGTCAAGCTTTGAACAAGGTCAAAGACGCCGTTTAGGCGTCGCTGCGGTGATTCAGGAGTGAAACACCTGAACCTGACCTGTGGATTTTTCCCCCTACTGTCAGATCACAAGTTCTATTACAATCCCCCAGGACTTCAGACCTACATCCTGTCCCTTAGGTGGTTCTCTGTTTTCTCAAAATATAAAGAGGGCACTGTGGAACGTTTGCTGCGGAGTCACACGCCCGCCCTTGGCGCCAAAGAGCGTTGAGTCCATTTTTCAGAGTTCTAACGTGCTCATATAATAAAAACACAGCTAGTTATATAAGTGATTAGCAAAAGTCAATATTCCACGTAAGCAATGACTATCTACTCTTTCATTGGCTACTGTCTGGTGAAATTTTAGACGTGTACAGGGCCCCCAAATTAGTGCTTTTCACTTCTTGAAATCAAAATAGATTCGCTGTAAAAACATTCTTTTTCACCCTTGAGCCAGAAGAATAACTAGTACTCGCCTTTCAATATAAATTGTCCAAAACCAAAGGATGAGATTCCTGAAGTTTCTAAATTTTTGTAACATTGAAAGATGAAGCTTGCATTTTGCTAGTGGTTTGCTGATTTATTTTCGCAATCACATAAGTGTGTGGAAAGCTCGCATGGGTAACTACGTGAAATGAAAATTTCACTTAGTTTATGGCATTGGTTTAAACAAGAAGGATATAAGAAAAAAAAAATTAGTGCTGACATGTGTTCTTGACCTGGTGCTGATTAGTGCATAACAACTTTATTGAAATATAATTTATGTACCATACTATTTACCTACTTCAAGTGTATAATCCAATGGTTTTTCAGAGTTATGCAATCATCACATTATCATCACCCCTAGAAGAAACCTTGTACCCATAAGCAATCACTCCCCTTCTTCCTCTCTCCTAGCCCTCAGCAACCACTTATTTATGTTTTATCGCTATAGCCTTTTCTGGAATTTCGGATGAATGGAGGCATTCAATATGTGGTCTTTTGTGACGGGCTTCTCTACTTAGCATAATGTTTTCAAGGCTCATTCATGTAGTAATTTCTTTTTATACAATAATATTCCATTGTATGGATAGTCCATACCTTGTTTATCCTGAAAAAGAAAATAAAATCTCAGGACCACCCTTCCAAGTCCTTATGCAAAAGAGAAGGTAACGGCCTCAGGAAACTGTGAAGAACTGGCCCCAGAGATCATTAAGGACATTCTTTGCTGGCCCCCCATAAACAAGGACATGGAAATTGTAACTAGGTCCGTGGACTATGTATAGCTGTTAAACTAAAGTTTGTTTGATTTCACACTAATAATGAATTGCAAGTTTATCTTTATAGGTGCACAACAGAGATAACAGAGGATCAGACAGTCTTCTACCTACCCAGGGATATCTATATAATTGATGCTTCCTTCACTCCCTTGTTTCTCCTCTAACATTCACCTTATCTTATGTAAAATGTAGATTTTCCTGGGTCTCACAAGAATGTAACCATTTTGTCTAACTGTCCACCGCCCCCTCCCCCCAGCTTTTTATTTGTATGCCTTTAAATACCGAAACTTTCAAAGTCCCCTTCTGAAAAATAGCTTCAGCTTTGTCTGCAGTTTGGGTTTTTCCCAGACATGTTCTCAACTTTGGCCTAAGAAACTTCCACTGGGTAGCTGTGAGCTAGGCTGATGCCAGGGCACTCTAGCACAGGCAGCAAAGTAAGACTGTCTCCAAAAAAAAAGAAAAAAAAGAAACCTCCACTGATTGAGATTTTGCCTCAGTCACTTGTTTGGATAGACAATCCATTCATCAGTTGATGGACAGGTTGTTTCTGGTTTTTTGGTATTATGAATAATGCTGCTATGAACATTTGTTTAAAAGTTTTCCTGTAGACATGTTTTTAATTATCTTGGGTGTATACCTAGGCGTGGAATTACTGGATCATAAGTTAACAGTATCTTTAACCATCCGAGGAATTGCCAGACTATTTTCCAAGTTGGTAGAACCATTTTATATTCCCATCAGCACTGTATGAGAGTTCCAATTTCTCTACATTCTTCTTAAGTCTTTTTGAGTATAGCCATCCTAGTGGGTGTGAAGTGGTAGCTTGTGATTTTGATTTGCTCTTCCCCCAAAATTAATGATGTTGAGCATCTTTCCATGTGCTTATTGGCTGGCCATTTTTCTGTTTTCTTTAGAAAAATGTCAGAACTTTTGCCCATTTTTAAAAAATTGGTTTTTAACAAAATTATTATTGAGGTTTAGAAGTTGTTTATTCTAGATACAAGTCCCCTGTCAGATACATGATTTACAAATATTTTTCTCCCATTCTGTGAGTTGTCTTTTCACTTTTTGGGTGGTGTCTTTTGCAGCACAAATGTTTTCTAATTTTAATAAAGTCCAATTTGTCTATTTGTTCCTTGTGCAATTTTTTTTTTTTTTTTGACAGAGTCTTACTCTGTTGCCTGGGCTAGAGTGCCGTGGCATCAGCCTAGCTCACAGCAACCTCAAACTCCTGGGCTCAAGCAATCCTTCTGCCTTAGCCTCCCGAGTAACTGGGACTACAGGCATGTGCCACCATGCCCGGCTCATTTTTTCTATATATTTTTAGTTGGCCAATTAATTTCTTTCTATTTTTAGTAGAGACGGGGTCTCGCTGTAGCTCAGGCTGGTCTTCAACTCCTGACCTTGAGCAAGCCTCCTGCCTCGGCCTCCCAGAGTGCTAGGATTACAGGCCTGAGCCACCATGCTGTTGTCATATCTAAGACATTGAAGAATTTTTACACCACTATAATAATCATGAAAAATCAGGATGGAGAAAATGTTAAGTTTTTAGTTTCAGCTACTGTGAAACAGGATTGGAGACACCTGGTTCTGGTCACAGCTGAGCAAATCCTATGACACTGTGTGCTATGGGACTGTGCCAGGTCTTAGTGAGATAGGCCAAGAAATAGCAGCAATGTGCCCTGGAGAAAGAAAACACTTCTAAATCAATTTTCTCTGCAACTTGGGAGGGCTGTAAAATAGGATTTTTACACTTAAGATTTAGCCTTGCTAACTGAGGAAATATATTTTGTTAAGTTAGAAACAGCTTACTTGGGGTTACGTTGCTTCAAAGCAAATGGGATTTGTGGAATGATGATGATGATGGCTCCTTCACTAAAAATATCTGTTTAATTTCACTTTTGGAGCTTTAAATTATACCATTATACCATTTTAATAAAATAACATCTTACAAAGATTCTGTGCCAGGCTCCTTCCTGAAGAAACACAAACCAGACTGGCTCAGGAGGGCTGCTAGGTCAACTTCTGACCTTAAGAAACGCCAACCCTAGAAATCCCAGTCTCCTACATTTGTTCCAAGTCAAAAAATGATTACTGAAACATTTACTTACTTACCCTAATTATATAACCATAGGATAGCCAATAAAGTATTTAATGACTGTTCTTCACTATTTTAAAAAGAACCAGCCTTCTCTTTTACCTTTAAAACATATGTTGTCTGTACACACGTGTTCTTCTCTTGTAAAAATCTCGTTTTCTCAACACCCCTCCCATATTTATGACCATCAAAGATAGTAGATTTTTCAGAAGTTCTCAAATATTTTGTCCTTTCACTAGAGTTCTCAAATATTTTGTTCCTTTATTTATGAGATATGGGCCTTGATTTGGGGCCATATTTATAGTTAAGCATATTATCAGCATGATAAACACCTACACAGAACAAGTTTATGCTTAGACTCTACAGGACTAGTTCTGGTACTCGGGATCTTTAGTTTGATCCTAAAAGCAGCAGCACCAGGACCTTGTCTCTAGCTTTCTACCTTATAGATTTACCATCTAAGATAACTATGACAATATGTACTAATAAAATTGCACAATCCAATAGGGATTTTCACAGCACATCCTCTAGCACATACAGACCTCCTATCCACAGCAGAGCCTCATGGTTATGAAACAAAAAGGATATTAAAAAGAGAAACTATGTTTGTTTTAAGGGCTTTACTTACTCTTTTTTTGAGGATGTCAAAGGATAGCTTGGTAATTTCTTCTTTTGTCTGACCCTAACTTCATACAGGCCCAAACTATAGAAGTCAGTAATTGTTTGCAGGTGGATAGTTGAATATTTACTGAGGGCCTAAAGCAAGTTGTAGGCTTCAAAAATGAGATTTGGCCAGGTAAACAGCCATTGTCCCAGAATTCAGAACAGGGTTAAGAACCAGAGGAATTTGCAAGTGAGTAACTTATATCCTACTATGTATTTTCTTTATTTTTTAACCTCTA